AGAATCCATTACACTCCGTGACAATTACCTTGTCCTGCTCTTCATTTTCACATCGTTTATTCTGTCAGGTATGTAATCCTACAAATGAAGAGCAGACCGCATCATTGGCATACTGGAAAAATCACATCCAAAACTGATGAATTGAACGTTTATCAATATAGAAAGGCAATAGACTAGGCCAGGTCAATAAACTTAATGCGGAACATTTTTTTCCCCATTCATTTCATTGCTCTATTTTCTTTTTTTTTGAAAACAATTTTATTGGTTTTTTTAAAAACAAACAAAACATAAAAACATCAGCTCTCTTCCGTACATATATACAAACAGTGTGTCGGTTGGTTCTTCAGTTTTGTGCATGCATTTCGTAGTCTCAATTACGGTTATGTTACATAATAACTCTTATTATCAATCCAAACTATTTTCATAATGAGAAACTGAACTGCTTTCATGATTTCTTCAATCACTCATATTTGCTCCATTCCCAGTTGAGCACCTCCTTTCAAACGGCTGCTTCACAATCACAAGTTACTTGCCTAGAATGTCCCAGGTCTTATAAGCTTGGGGTGTTCTGGGGAAGTCAAGAAACTTACAGAGATATACACAAAAGCATAGGCTATTTCTCCTAGAGGATATGATCCAGTCAGGAACCTCAGGTATGTTTGCTGCCTGTTAGTTTTCTTATTAAAAAAAAATGAGAAGACTGAAAGAGCCACTAGTGATGGTAAAAATATTGTGGCATTAAGGCAGCTTGGAGATCTTTTCCTATCTTGCCCTTTTGATCCACATCTTGCCCCATTTAAGTTGGTCTTCTTTCATTGGGGAAAGAGTTGAACCTAAAACAAGATAATGGAAGTGCCATCAACTGGTTTGGGGTTATAATGCAATGTTTCCCAACTTCAGCCATTTTAAAATGCAGGGACCCAAAGGTGCTTTTTCAAGAGGCAACTGGATTTTCTGGTTTTTCTTCGAAGTTGTTTCGCTTCTCACCCAAGAAGCGAAACATCTTCAAGAAAAAAAACCAAGAAAGTCCAGTTGCCTCTAGAAAAAAAAGCACCTTTGAGACTACCATGACTTGGATGACTGAGAATCTCCATAGACATTTAAATGCGGGGACTTTTAACTCCCAGAATTCCCTAGCCAGCATGCTTTTAGATATGGGGACTTCAAATCCCAGAATTCCCC